GCCACGTATATGGCGGTTTTTATAACGAGGTTTGTGAGGGTTTTAAATCTAGTAGGCTGGATAAATCTTTGAAAATATTGAAGTCTATAGGTAGCCTTTGCGCGGTACGTGGGGGTTCGGATCTCTGGATACCCCTAAGGATGTTCTTGATCTGGTAGGAGGACATGAAACTTGTGTTGTTTGGTTGTAATGTTAGCATGTGATGTTGTACGCCTGTCAGATATAGCTTGATTGTGTTGTAAGATAATTTAAGTTTGAGGTGGCAAAAAGAAGCAAAACCCAACAAAGATGTCATGATGAAAGGTTGTGTGATGTTGTGCAGTGACAGGAATCTTTTAAATAGAAGGAAAGCCCTGTCATATGTTCTCCGGGTATTGGTGGACAGTGCTAATTGAGCCAATGTCCTGCTATGTTGCATGATAGCTTCTAGTCCATAACTAGCTGGTGGAAAGGTGGAGTGGTCGTGGCTGTGCGTGCGGCTGACGGAAGTATTTGCTGAAAAGCCTGTAAATTGAAACGAGACAGATTGTCAGCAGCCATGTTACATACACCTGGGACATGAACACAAAACAAGAAGAAATTATGGCATGCAGCCAGCCAGGTGAGTTTCCTCAAGAACCTCATAATGGTCAGTGACTTGGATCGGCCTTTGTTTATGATGTGGCAGGTAGCTTGGTTGTCTGAGTAGCAACGTACTGACGAATCTGTCCATAGATGCCCCCATGTCACGGCAGCTGCCACAATGGGATATATCTCAAATAGAGCTGAGGTAGTGGAAAAACCTTCCAGGTCCTGAACCTCTGGAGGCCAGCTACCCCAAAGCCATTCATTCCTGTAAATTGCTGCAAAACCTGTGGTAGACGCCGCGTCTGACCAGATGGTAGGTGAGGAGTCAGACAATTTAGGGAGAAACATGCTTTTCCCATTCCAGGTGGCCAAAAAGTTTCTCCACATAAGTAGGTCTGCCGTGGCTTGGGTATCCAGTGGTAACCTGTGTGCATCATGTCTAAACAGTGGGAACATGGTTAGGAGCCGTGAGATGAAAGCCCGGCCTTGAGGTATAATGCGCATGGCAAAGTTCAGTGACCCAAGTAGAGACTGCAATTCTTTGCGATTGCAAGTACCGAGGTGTATGTAGAGGTTAATGTTGGTGAGAATGTTCTCTATCTTGGTGCGTGGCAGGCTGGCTTGCGTGGTGGCTGAGTCTAGCATGATTCCCAGAAAGGTGATGACTGTATCTGGTCCTTCAGTTTTGGTGGGGGAGACTGGAACACCCACCTGTTTAAAAAGACTGATGGTTTCTATGAGGCTACTGGGAGGGGAAGTGTTCTCTTCGAGCAGTAAGAAATCATCCAGGTAGTGTATAACTGTAGGGCATCTGGCTACATTTAATAATAACCAGCATAATGTTTCGGCGAATACGTCAAAAATGGCCGGACTACTTTTTGAACCAAACGTTAGGCGTGAGAAAAGTAGTAGTGCCCGGCCCACTTAATGCCATGCAGGTGCCATAGTGTAGGGTGGATAGGCAATAATTTGAAGGCATTTGTAATGTCAGTCTTGCTGAGCCATGCTCCGACCCCTGCCTGCATGATAGCCGTAATGGCGTGATCTATGGTGGAGTATTGAAGTGAAAATTCCTCAGAGGGGATAAGGGAGTTCAGACTAGGTGTGGCAGAGGTGTGAGGTGCAGACAGATCGATGATAAGTCTTTGTTTGTGGGAAGATTTCCCCGTGACAATACCGATGGGATTTGTCCGCCATGTGGAAAAAGGAGGGGACTGAAAGGGTCCCAATAGAAAGCCCTCTGCCACTTCTTTGGCTATGAGTGTGCTAACCGCTGTAGGGTTTTGTTGTGCAGATTGTAAATTAGGACATTCAAGGATTCCTGAAGGCATGTGTATGAGACCAGTATGGAATCCTTGTGATAGACCAGTGATGATGAAGTCTACCAAATGTCTAGATGGATGTTGTGACAGTAATGCCGTGGGTACAGAAATATTTATCTCAGTTAAGTATTGCTTAGGGTACATTTTATTTGGACACATGGTTTTCGCATGTGCCCTAAAACATTTTGAACATATATGCAATAACCGACAACCACTGTAATTACATGCACCGACGTTGAAATGATTACATATTTGGGATTTCCCCAAAAACTTGATAGGTCGACCCAGTTTGTCTTTGGGTGTTCTCTCTGCCGAAACAGCGGAGCTAGTGCCCTGCGAGGTAGTAGGTTCGTTCGCAGTGGTCGGACAAAAATTGGCAGTATGAGCCATGGAGGAGCAGTGTGCACAGGCCGGTGCTCTTAGACCTGCAAAGTGCCTGCAAAAAACGATCGTATCAATCTTACTCCAGTTGGACCTTGTCCCGTACTGTGAGAAGGCGCCAGACACTTTGGCAGAAAAGGATCTATGGTAGTCATAGAAATCTGACCCACCATATTTGTTGCCCAGGTCCACCAGCCTGTGCATATATAAGTCAAACTCCTCACGTCTGTGGGGATATACCGTACAGATCACATCACGATAAATGCCAAAAGCTAATACAAATTCTGGAATGGTTAGCTTCCTATTTAATTGTGCATCCCTAGATTTGACCACCACAGAAATATCATCATAAGCGTATGTCTTATGTTCCACTATATCCTGGGAGGCAATTAGTAGTGAGGCCAGATTGACATCTTTACCTTCCAGGATATCTTTTTTTGAGGTGCTCAGGTATTATGTGGGCAGGGTAAACCTCTTGGTCATCCGAGGTGATGGCTGGAGAAACTGATTGCAACTCCACCCCTGATGGGGGAATTGCCGTGGCCGGTCCAGCCATAGTGAGGGCTGTAGTGACCGATTCAAGTTTCTCCAGCCTAGAATTGACCTTGCTCATAGATGCCATGAGGGACGTGAGCATGTCATGTATGTTTTCTGAGTTAGACTGGCTCGACCCTTCCCCAGCGTCCATGTTATCGGTTGAGGTGTGCAGTAATTTGTAAAGTTCCGCTTTCCTTGCTGTTGCTGGAAAAGGGATTTGTCGTCTCCTGAGTTCGCTAGTGATGCGTGGGATAGTCCATGATCTGAAAGATGCTGGACTAGCCGTATCTTCCTCCTGTGATGGGGTGTTTGCTCTAGCCGGAGTACTCGGGATGGAGAAATCCTCTACCCCTTCTTGAGACATACTAGATGACAAAATATATGGTTAGCGTAAAAAAAACCCAGGGGATGTACTGGCAGGCTAATTATGCCGGATGAGGCGAAAAATTAATCTTGTTCTTTGGTGACAGGTGAGGCCCTGCTAGTCACGTGTGGCCCGGGGGGCATTACCTCCGAAACGTTGAGGCGGGGTGTTGGCCTCGCGGACCACTAAACGATAGGCAGGATGCCCAGAGGGGAGATACCTATTTGGGCCTATAACCCCTAAAATTTGCCAGTACTCTATGTCCTAAGTAGAGATGGAACCGTATGTGATATGTGGCGTGAGCAGGCTTAACGTACCTGGTAGTATGTATGAGTTTGATAAGCGACAGGTATAGAAAACCTGGAAAAAACCTAAAGGGATAGAAAACCAGATATGATAGTGTGAGAATTGGATCTTATGATACCAATTGGACTAGTTAGCTGATGAGTTCTATTAGTACATATGGAGGGGGAATTTTATGAAAGGTAGTGGCCCGACTGGCCATGTTATGTGGTATGGTCCTGGTAACCAGGATTAGGGGTGTATATAATATGTCTCTATGGTGACAAGATTAACGCGTATGATTTAGTAATGCTAGTGTAGTATAATATGGTGCAGGTTTTAAAACAAAACAGTCTATGTTAGGCCGTGAATGTAAGCCACGAAAAGAGGTAGAAAATACTTTGGAAATTATCCCCAAAAAACAGGAAAAAACGTGACGTATGAGTGGTTGAATCAAGACGTGTGATTCAACCCGAAAATTTTGTGAGATTTTTTAGACTGTGTTCTTGTGTACTTGGTATGTCGTTTTGAGTAAAAAAAGAAAAAGTCAGAATTTATAAGTGCCATGTAAGAAACGTGTGTACATGGTGTGATAGAAGTGTAATTCTCTAAAACATAATAATAACATGAGTCCTACATGAGCTATTTTATAAATAATGTAAAGGCTTGTTTAAGCATAAATCCATATATATATATATATATATATATATATATATATATATATATATATATGTAACATGAAGAAATTCCAATATAACTAATGCCATATCTGTTAATAGAATGAAACCATTGTAGTTAAAAAAGGGGGAATTTTGCTCCAGTAATTGCATAAATAAATACCAATGGTAACATAAAAACAGCTATAGATACAGATATGCAGAAGACAAGAAGTTTAGTTAATACAAAACCGAACCGTCAGTCAGCACAGTATACAGCGATCATGCCGGAAGCAAACGGGTTAACTATGCCTGTGACTTGGCCGTAAAGCGTGTGGCCGTAAAGTAAGGCCGTTTTAAATCGCGACGCCGTGGGAAATGATCCGGGCGACAGACTTACGATTTTGCAGTCCTGTGGACTTAATCTGCGACGGACCACCGGGTGTGTGTGTGGCTGGACGGCCGGAAGACCTGATTTGTGCGGATTCCTGGACACAGCTACACCAAACGAAACCGCTGGTTTTGTGAAAAAACAAGATGGCGCCGCACGTGAACCAGAAGTGGATTCAGATGCAGCGCTGACCTCGAACGGTATGGAGCCAGGTAAGGGGTGTCCCTTAAGTAGGGAGAAGGTGAGTCATACGCCCCTCCCACAATTACAGGCCAAAAGGCCTTAATACATATAAATAAGGTGCACTCACAGGTCTTCAGAAGTGCTTCTTTTATTTTACATGCAAATTACATGTGCAAAAAAATCTACAAATAAATCGATGTTTCGACCCCTATAGGGTCTTTTTCAAGATCAACATTATAGGAAAACAAGTGAATATATATAGATAAATATCAATAAACACTTACCAAAAAGATGTGAGTGAAAGATTCCCTGCTCGTCCGAACCCGGAAGTGAGACAGTGTACACCACGTGACCGGCGTGATGACGCGGGTGAGTACGATGTTGCTAGGCAATGATAGTAAACAAATCTTGCAAGCGTGTGATACAATCCACCGAGTGAACGGAGGTGACTGAGTAATAAAACGATCACTGAAAAGAGATCAAATCGAAAAATATATAAACTATGGAGGAGGAATAAAGAACTTATAAGTATAGTGCACAAAGCCTAAGTATATAAAGGCATGAAGCATAGATAAAGAGTTAAAGTAACCATAGCACCATGCAAATATAGACAACATGAATATATGTCCTGAAAATATATAATGAAGAGAATGTCATGCATTCAAATGTAAATGCTTGTACTAGGCATAGACAGACCAATACAAATGGGTATAAACCAATGTGTAACAAAAATGTTTCCATGAAATAAAAAAAATAACGAAGTATATATACAAAAAAAATATGTAGCATGCATATTAAGCTATGAGGGATGTGAAGGTGACCCTGCAGACATGCAAACATAAACAATGTACATATTCATCCTCAGAGCATGGGATAGAAGGATGTCATACAGGAAAGTACAGATGCACATGTTAATAATAAATAAAGCAATACGAAATAGATTTGAATCAAATATATGACATATGTACTTGCCAAAAAATGGAAACATAAAAAAATACATATGTAAAAAAGACATCAATGGTTACCATAAGGTGGTGCTTAACCAAATAGTGGGAAAAATCCCTATTTATACTAACTGTATAGAAAAAATATAATAAAAATAAATAAACAACTTCAGCTGCCTATTATTATATAAAAAAAACTAATCATTGGTCATATATTCATATGGGAAACACTGAAATCAAGGATATACATCCAAATACACACAAAATAATAGTGATTGTTTGAAAAATGGAAAAAATAAAAATACATAATATATGAGATACAACATAAAAACTAGAAAAAATATATATAATGGAAAAATCATAGAAACATAGAAAATGTATTATATTCATTTAAGCCCTTAGGTGTAACTGTGTCCAATTTGAAAATCCAGTATGCTTCTCTTTGAAGTAGTATTCTAGACCTGTCACCCCCATGAGGTAAAGGGGGGACATGGTCTATAGCCATATCTCTTTATATATATATATATATATATATATATATATATTATTGATAAATTTCTTCTTCTAACTCAAAATATTAGTCCTTTCAGGGTAATTAAATTATACAGTAAAGCATACTCACACACAGACACAGACAATCTTACTGATGCACACAAATAGGCTCATTGACAGACCATCCCAATGACACACACAGACAAGGTTACTGGCACACACAAGTTTAGTACAGACAAACTCTGATACACACACAAGCTTACTACAGACAAGCTCACTGTCACACACACACACACACGCTCACTACAGACAAGCTCACTGATGCGCACACACTTTCCCTACAGACAAGCCCACTGACACACACATGCTCCCTACAGAAGAGCTCACTAACACACAGATTCCCTACAGACAAGCTCACTGACACACACATGCTCACTACAGACAAGCTCACTGACACACATATGGTCACTACAGACAAGCTCACGATCACACACATGCTTACTACAGACAAGCTCACTGTACACACATGCTCACCACAGACAGGCTCCGACACACCCATGCTCCTTACAGACAAGGTGACTAACACGCACACACACATATGATCCCTACAGACAAGCTCACTGACACACATACAAGCTCCCTCACTAGCAGGCACACACACACACACACACACACACAAACTCAGTAGCAGGCGTGCACACACAGAGGCTAACAGATGCGCACACACACACGCAGAAGCTCGCCTGCTCTCTCAATAGCAGATGCACACACAAAGACATCCATACACACAGAGGTAGACAGTCAGTGACACCGAGGCAGACATCCACACACACAGAGACAGACAGCCACACACACACACAGGCAGGCAGACAGACACACACACACACACACAGTCAAACAGACACACACACAGAGGCAGACAGTCACACACACACACACACGCAGACAGACAGACACACAGGCAGACAGACAGTCTCACACACACACACACACACACACAAGCAGACAGTCACACACACAGGCAGACAGTCACGCACAGGCAGACAGTCACACACACACACACACACACACACAGTCACGCACAGGCAGACAGTCACACAGGCAAAACAGACACAGACAGTATCACAGTCACACACACAGGCAAACAGACACACAGGCAGTCACACACACACACACTGATCTGCTTCTTACCTCCACATCCCTTGGAGCTCCTGGACGCTGGTTGTTGGGGAAGCAGGGACTCCTTCCTGCTTCCCATGCAGCAGTTACCAGGCCCCCCGTGCACGCTAAGCTTTTAATGATCCCGCCGGCCATGTGTGAGCTGTGCGGCCGCCTGGCTCCCCCTGCTCCCATGGGGCACTGTGTGGCCACACAGCTCACACATAGCCGGCTGGGATTACAAGAGCATGATGACTGATTAGGGCTGTCAGCCCAGCCCCAGGTGCCGCGGCCCACCGGGAAATTTCCCGGTATCCCGGTGGGCCAGTCTGGCCCTGCTTATGGGAACCAAGGTAAGGACTAACAGAGGGGGGTGGCATGGGAGGGGCGGGCGTGAAGCTGAAGTGGTCATGGTGGGTGACTATAGTGGTCCTTTAAGCGTTGTATTCCTGGCAGTACAGTATCCCCTTTAACATCTTCTATGGGAAATAAAAAGGTTCTTCAAATACTATTTACATGCAGACTATATGGGAGCTCTAGTGGAATTTAGTGAGCACTCTGTCGTTAAAGGGTTGCTCAAAGCACCATTACCAATTTAGTGGTTTGAATTGTGAACTAAATGAACATAAAGGCTGAGTAAGCGCTTCTCTTGTTTAAATATGAACTCCGATAAAGTTCAAGAGAAGCTATTCACTGCAACAATCATCACACTGGTTGTGAATACATCAATCCCATTTTTTCAATTGAATCCATTTGTTAAAATTCTCCATTGTATCAAAACGTTCCCACATGCCACTCCAAGATATCCTAAGGGAAGCAGAGGAGCCCCCAATAAAATGTCATGCTCTGTAGTTTTAGGAAATTTACTCCAATCCATTAGGAAGTCACTAACATTAACAAAAGTTCAATTTCTACTTTGTGTGTAGACTTTGGAAACAGCCCATCCTAATGTTTGAATTTAACCGGCGGGTGATATTTTACAATCCCACAGTCTGATAAGGGGATATTTCACCCCTGGATAAATCAATGCATCATCCATATATAGAGTGTATAAGCTTGCATAGTACATGGCTTGTATTCTTCCACAAATTTGCACCATTCCACTGCCCTCTGGTTAATGGTTAGATCTCACAGGATTTTATTCCAGAATACTGGCATCTGTGGTTTCACAGTTCACAGTCACATATCCCTGTATCATCACATAAATTGCCTAAAGATTTGATGTAAGATACTCCACCTAGTGTACGGATATTTGACTTTTGATTTGTTGGTGTGGGTTAAGGTATAAGAGTATCACTTATTGATTGAAATAACACTGGGACTTTGTACATATAGTTTTTTTATATCAGAATGTTGTCTACAAACATTCTGCATTTCCCCATAATAAGATGGAGTAACATTGGGGAATTTTATATATCGATTTGAGTTTTTCTTCATTTCCTGTTTTTTCTGACCCCGGTTCTATATATGATTCCCAATACAATAGCATACAATAGTAATAAAACAAAAAGCAAGACCCAGGAGGAAAAAAAACACTAAACAATATTTAAAAGACAAAGAAAGCGGAAAAGGTGTGAAATGCTAAATTGCTAAATTTTATCTTTCACACCTTACAAATACACATTTATTAAATATAAGTCAACATAATATTAAAAATCCAGGGAAAAGACAATTCCCCGTTAAAGCCTTGCTTTGCCACATTAAGGAAAAAACAAGTCTACAGGGACATTATCTGAGCATCATAATCAAATCAATAAGCTGAAATGATTGGGATTTGTAGAGCTTCTCTTTATAAAGTCATTTTTCTACAGTCAATACATCGAGTACAAATATAGAGACTCCAAATCTATCCTCTAGATACATTGCTCTTCACCATTTACCGAAAGGCCTTTTCCAATTGACATATACATATTTTGTAGATGAAATATTCAACATTCTATTAGTATTAAATATACTTTGTTTATTGTATGCTACAACTGTTCAACAGATTGCTATTTGCTGTTAACAAAAAAATTAATAAAATAAACATTAATTTTGGATTTTTCCTAGTAATAATTAAATACATAAGCCACTTTGGTATTTTGTTCCAATAGGTGGCACTGTTAACCAGGCAATTGGTCTATATCTTCAGTTTCACAACCAAATGTATGATTAGAATATCTTAGCATGGTATATTTGGCCAGCAAACACATCTTTCATATACATTTCTATTTAATCTATACCTTCTTTCTTTAAAGTGACACTGGCACTTGTGAGTTTTTTTAGATTCAATTTGAAAAACTCATGGGGTCTATGTTTAACGCACTGTAATGTGACAAAATGTGGCAATTGTTGCAGCTTCAAATGCCAACATGCTGCCATATCTCGTCAGGTGACAAGTTATCTGGTCTATTTCTTACAGCAGTGAAATCATACCTCCCAACTGTCACTGTTTAGAATGGACAGTCCCTATTTTAGACCCAAATCCCTCTGTCCATCTTTTCTATCCTAATGTCCTCTCATGTAAAGGCTCAGTATTGTTGGTGTGTCTGAGTGTATAACAGAGTTCCACAGCAATTATACTCACATTAATGTGTTTTTTAACTACAATACATTTAAAAATCAGTCTGTGTTAATAAGATACGTTTTTTTCTAAATTTCACAGCCCAGCCACAACCCCAAAACTAAAGTGTCCCTCTTTGACAATTTGAAATGTTGGGAGATGTGGTGAAGTTGAGAAACGAGAGGTTCAGGTAAGTATAATTTAAGTATAACTTACATATATATATATATATATATATATATATAATATATGAAGTTGTTATGGTGTCTGAAGATTCTAGTTGCCGTCTTACCTTATTTAAATTCCTCTTGATGGTGCCATCCACTTGATCCTCCTGCCTCCTCCTGTGACCTAGACTTAATTTGCGGAAGCCTTTGTCTTGGACATGGAAATAGAG